GGCAGCTGCCCTCAATCTGTGGGCATGTATCAAGCAATTAAGCTTTGTCTTGTAAAGTCATGAATTTTCTCTACTTGGGAGCACTTCCAGCATCACCAGCGGCACTCTGTATAGGTCTCGCAGTGCTATTCAAGGTTTACAGTATTGCACTAAACATGATGAAAAGTACTCAAAAACTGTGAGAGAACATTTTTTTACTGCTATCACAATTTACTGGAGAAACAAACTGCTCACACGAAGATGATTAACCTCACTAAGCAGATACTTGCAACACTTGAGCTCACCGCAATAGCAAGAGGTGGCTATGAAATTATTGCAGTAACGCTATGTACTACAGTTAATTTTATGCAGCTGTTATTTTATACTGCATCTTTACATTGATTTACATTTCTCCCGACGGTGAATGGTACCATGTATAGTCTGCATCTGTGTGCCTAAATTTTGATAAGTTTTAACTTTTTATAATATATTTCTGTATATTTTATGGTAGTAAATGATAAAATAGACTAGTATCTACATATATGTCATGCATTCATGACATATCTTTTTCTTAATTTTTTTGATATTTCTAGGCTCTGCAGTTCATCTGCAAGTTTTTTTTCAAATGGTCACAAATGTCCAAAAAATTTTCCAATATATTTATTGAAAATGTATTCGCGTAAAGTGGACTCGCATAGTTCAAACTCATGTTGTTCAAGGGTCAACTGTATATCTAGGAATAAGCTTACCAATAAAACTGTAAAACCTAGACGAAGGAAACTCCAAAACTCTAAAACCTGGTCTAAAAGAAAGGCCTACCATGTTCTTCTTGACAGGAAGACTACAACATGTTGATTTCCCTATGGTAATTTATAAATTAAACATCCCAACAAAATGCAAATTGATTTTGAGGGGGAGAGGGAGCCAAAATTTAATAAATTCTAAATTTCCATTAAAAACTAAATGAGCGTGAATAGCCAGGGAAACCAAAAAGAAGAATAATGAAAGTAAATTTAGCCTTAAATAATCTTAAAATATATTTTACAATTTATTAGTTAAAAGCATGTACTATTTCATTGTAGACAGATCAATGAAATAGGGGAAAAAAGTACAAAAATAGACTCAAATGAATCTATACACCATATACCAGGATAAACCCTAAAGATTTAAATGTAAAAAAAATCAAAGATTTAAGTGTAAAATGCATTTACATAAATGTACCAGAAGATTGAAAAATCCTTTGGTAACCTTAGAAAAAACAAGGATTTTCTGAATAATTATTAAGATTCAGATAAACATGACAACAGCAACAAAAATAAACAAAAATAAACTTTAGCCTGGCAAAACAAAACAAAACAAAAACACAACAGGGAAATAAACAGTTGCAGTTCACATAACAACCAGGGCAAATATCTCTAACATTTAAAGAATTCTTAGTAATTTATAACAGATTAACAACCAAATTAAAAAAAAAAAACAGTCCCAAGTTATAAACAGACTTGTAACAATGCAACTGACCCAGCAATCATATTTATACTTATTGCAGATATATGCGCGCAAAAATCAGCTTGTGCAAAATGTTATTCATTGTACCAACATTTGTAATATGAAGTAGAAAACTTACTGAATTGTGGTATATCCATATAATGTAATACTAAGTAGCCATAAAATAAGAAAAAAAGAAGCCCTTTATGTATTAATATGAAAAAATCTCCCAGATTTATTATTGACTAAAAATAAACAAGGTGGAAAAAAATGGTGTCTGTTATACTAACAATTGTATTTAAAAAGGAGGAAGACTACATATTTATTTTTGCTTATGCATACATTAAAACTATCTCAAAGAAGAGAATGGGAATGGCTGGGTGGGGACAGAGGTAGGCAAGACTTTCTACTGTGTGTCTTCGTAGACTTTGTATGCTTATTGATGTCTGAGCCATGTGAATATCTATTAAACATTATTTTCACAGGTTTTACAATATTAGGATATTATATTGCAATATTAGGTTATTATAGTATCTTTTTTTACTCTACTAGAACAAAAAACAGTATTATTTTTAAAAAGTATTACAAAAGGGATCTGGGTTTAGAAATGTAAGAAAAAGACACAACGTACTCAGTTTCCTTTGTTTCTTTTTCTTCACTAGTCCACACATCAGTAACAGCGCATGGCAAGCTCTCATTTCTGTTTGTTCCACTTGGCTCTTGTAGAATTTCTGTTTCCAAATCATCAGGTTCTGCGAAACATCAACATAACGAGAAACATGTCTCGTAGCAAAATTTGTTGACAGAAGATTGAATAAACTTTCTATAAATTGCCACTACTTCGTTTTAGGATAATATGTTAACTATAATAGAAAAAATTAAATAGTTTATCTATAGGTCTCTAATCTTGTTATTGTATTAAGTCTCTACTTCAGTCATTTCTGAAATGACAGACTCTTCCTACTGCCTGTAATAACAATACTCAAAAGAAATACAGGGCCAGGCACGGTGGTTCACGTCTGTAATCCCAGCACTTCGGGAGGCCAAGGTGGGAGGATTGCTTGAGGGCAGGAGTTCCGAGACTAGCCTAGGCAACGTAGGGACATCCCATCTCTAAAAAAAATTAAAATTATCCAGGTGTAGTGGCACATGACTGCAGTCCTAGCTACTTGGGAGGCTGAGGTGGGATGGTTGCTAGAGCCCAGGAGTTCGAGGTTGCAGT